CGTCCATTTCACTTTATTCCGTTATAAATTTTACTATTACCGATATTTTTCGTATATTTTTTGTTAAAATTTTATTTATTCTACGATCAATTGAAGTATTAACAATAATATTGATATGGTTTTTCGTTTTTTTGATCAACTTTTGAGGTCAACTCAAAAGTGTCACATATTACTGTGTAATAATCAATAGAATGTATTATCGAATATCTTGAATCAATTAACAAATTATTTACAAATTTTTAGAAATAATTAATTCATTAACAGATAACTTTTACTTTTTGTAATTTAATTATTTTTGCTAATTTTCATTAAATGATATAGTGTATTTAACAAGAATGTAACATTTTAATTAGTAATTCAATTTTATTAATAATAATTACTAATAATCAAGCATCCTTTTATAAATTCCTTTTTTTCTTCAGTAGAATTTTAATAATTTAAATTCTATTCCATCCAATTATAAATGTCGCATTGTCGTATTGCACAAAATAATTAGCATAAAAATTTCATCTTCATTAACTCATTAAATGAATAATCGTATTTTTATCAATTATATTTGTTTGTCTTCATATTGCTTCCTTTCAAATATCTTTTTTTTTCATAAATATCATATTAATAAGCAAAAAAAAAAGAAAATACTTTGTTGTGATCATCGTATTGTTACTGCCATTATTTTTTTAATTAATTATAATTAGAAATAGTGATGCTACTTGCATATCAGTGATTTAAAAGTAAACAATTATAAAATAAAATATATGCATAATTTTAATTCCTGTTACAACATTACTTAATTCTATTCAAATTTTGCTAAGTTTTAAATTAAAATTTTTGAATTTAAAATAAATCTAACTAACTATTCCATCAAAGCATTACTATATTATTATAAAATTGTTCACATAAATGTTTAATTATGCAGAAATTTGCATATCACTGGTCTTAAATCATTTGAACAATTTCCAAATTCATGTATACATAACTATCCTAAATGTTATCAAATTTTTAATTCGTAAAAATTTATGAAATCTAATTATGTTATCATTATGCGTTGAAATAAAATTAGGTATTAACTTACAAAACGTTAACATTTAGCTTATTCACGAACGAACAAATAATTTTATCAATTTATCAATACCTGGATAATTTCTGTCTAATATCAATACATAATTAATAAATAATAGAAGCGGTGCTATTTATGCAATCAGGTAAGCTGTCCTCATCAGAGGACAATTTCAGGTTTACTATAAACAAAAATATATCATTGTTAGCATCATTAATATTGAATGAATATTGCTTTATGATTTTCTTAAGATTAAACCGAAAAGATTTGGTTTCAAAAAAATTTCCGTAGAGATTCAGAAATTTTCATTCGGGAACAACCGATGAATCCTGAAAGATAAAGTGACGTATCTTTTTTACTATGATACATCAATATGATTTATACACAACCATGACAATGATAAGTTACATTTTATGATTCTACGCAACAAACGTAAATTATAACTATTACAATGACTGAATTATTTCACATAATCCCATCTGACATCGGTTAAATTGAATTTGTCACTTTGAGTGAAACACGTTGATCTTAAATGAAATACGTTGAAATATGTTGATCTTAAATGAAATACGTTGATCGTTGATCATGTTGATCACATAACATATCAAACAAAATGACGTATGAAATGATATCGCTTGCAAAAACTTTTATAATTTATCTTTTTCACGTTTATAAATTAAATAAATTGATTTTTTTCAATATTTCATTTTCAGAATTATATTTTATAAGTGCAATTCATACCAGTTGTTGCTCATCAAAAAAAAAAATTAATAAACTATTGTTCACGCCAGTTTCACGTCCAGCGTAAAAAAAAAAAATTAGTAAATCATTGTCAACGTCAGTTTTACGTTTTGCATATTTTACATCATTTAATATTGTAAGATTTATTTGCATTCAATCATCATTTTTCTGAAATTAATTTGATCGATTATTAGCCTAAATTGAACAGGCTAACTTAGATGCTATCATGAAACATCAGGAGCAGGCTAACTTCGGTGTCATCATAAAGCAACAGGAATCTGATAATTAATTCTTCAAAGCCCTGTATATGATTGTAATTAATAAAGTTGAAATATCAGCTCATAAAATTAAAAAAGAAAAGGAAAACAAAACAATTGAAAAAAAATTTTAATTGAAATTTAAATATCCAAAAAAAAAAAGAAAGAAAATATAAAAGAGAATAATTTCATTGTTTATTTATACGTTATATCCATATAATTTCATTAAAAAAAAAAAAGAAAAAGAAAAAAACACGATTCAACAATTAAATTTTGAACGAAAAATGAAAAAAACAAATGAAAAGTAAAATACAACAAAACTAAGTATATACATATATATATGTATATATGTATGTATGTGACAAACAGGTATGACATCAAGCAACAGATTTCAATTGAGTTTATGAATGAGTATGGATTAAGGAGTAATCATTCCGTATTAATTTTAGCAAATTTTTTTTTTTTATAAAATTTAATTTAAAATAAATGAATGCATCATTTGTCTGGATGTTAAAATTTCCGGAATTCCGGATGGGAAATTTATTTATTAGAAAATATCATTTACTAAAATGTTATATCATTTCATATTATTTTCAAAATATTTGCCTAATTAGATTACTCCTTTATCGTATCATAGTATATAAAAGGGGAAAAGAAAATTATTGCTAGTTGTATTAATAGCAGTAGTAGTAGTAGTAATAGTAGTAGTAGTAGTAGTATTAGTAGTAGTAGTAATAGTGGCAATAATATCGGGCGCAAATGTATACATCGATATTGATTAGTACCTAAGTAAAGGTAAGTAAGGAAAAAAGATAGATAATATAATTAAATGAAACAGGTGAAATTTTTGTCAACTTTTCCAATAAATTGTCATTTAAAAATTTGCATGCTTGTTTTGAAAAAAAAAAAAAAAGAAAAGCAAAGTTTAAATTAAGAATAATAAAAGGAAAAATTAGAATTAATTTTCGAAAAAAAAAAAAGAAAGAAAAAAATTGAGATTTGATTAAAGAGAATTAATAAATGAATCAAAAATTTTCAAACATAAAATTAATAGCTAATTAACATTAATTAAGAAAAGGATTGAGGAGGAAATGTGAAATAATTTAATTAATTAGCAAATTTGAACAGCTTATTCGTTTCATCTTTGAACAACTAATACTATCATATGGCAGGTCAGAAAGCTTTTCATTTATTAATACAGATTCATTTGGGAGAAAAAAAAATAAGGTTAAAGGCAGAATAAGAAAAACAAAAATGGAAGAAATTGAACAAGAAAGCCAAATTATTTAGCAATTTAAAATTGGCAAATGTAATATAAATTTAATTAATTATTTTTAGCATTTAATGAAATTTTGAAATTTATAAATTAGCATAAAGAAATGTTTGAAAAGTATTTAGAGAAATTGAATTTTTCAATCAAATAATACAGGAAGTGAATGGGATGGAAGGAAAAGGATAAGGAAGTAAAAATTAAAAAAAAAAAAAAAGAAAAAAAGAAAGGAAAGAAAATCAAAACTAAGTTTTAAAAATTTTTTTATCAAAACATTTGTCAACGTAAATAACAAAATTATCAAATGATGAAGATGAAGAAGTACATGAATCACAGTGGGAATGTTGCATAAATTTAACAAAATTAAAACAAATTATTTGCAACGACAATTTACTTCAAAAAAAATTAAAAAAAAAAAAAAGCAACGAAGAAAACGAAATTTGAAAATTTGAACAAATTTTAAGAAAATAAAAAAAAATCAAATAGGAAAACTATTGAAAGATGAAGTATTGAAATATAAAAAAAATTATAAATTTAAATATTTTTTTTTATAATTTATCAGAATTAAAAAATAAATTCTTACAATGGTAAAAAAAAAACAAAAAAAATCAATAAAATTTTATAATTTCATCTTTAATAACGAATTTTTATGGGTGATAATAGGAAGAAGGAGAGATTAAAAAAGTTTTTTATTTGTATTTCTATAAATAAGCTTTGAAGATTTACCAATGAAATGTTTCATTTGTATTATTATAATGAATTTGGAAAATATTAATTGTAAAATATTTTTTTTCAGTTTATCCATAGAATGATGACAGATGACAAATTATAAAGTATTAGGATAAACTATTCCAAAAAGTACTACTTCATTTGGCATGTCAAATTTTTTTTTCGGGAAATTAAAAATAAAATAAATTTCAGAAATACGGAAATACGGATTATTATCCAGAAAATGAACGATCTTTTTTCTTTTTCATTTCAATGTGACACAAAGAAAAAGTGAATGTGTTATGTGTTTGACTAGATAGAAAGAATTTTAAAAAAAAAAACTAAGAATTAATAAGTACAAAAAAAAAAAGTTTCTAAAAAAAAAATAAAAGAAAAAAAGAAACGAATCATCAACACAAATACAAATAAGCACAGCCTTGAGATCATTTACCTCAAATCTTTAATTTAATTTATTTCAAACTATTTTAACTATAATTAATTATCATTTAATCAATAATCATAAATCATACAATTACAAAATTTCTTTTTCTTTTCAAATTTGATAAAAGCAATTTTTTTTTTCAATTACTTAAAAAGTAAGTAAAGAAAAGAATTATCTAAAAGAAAAAAATATGCATAATTTATAATGACTTATTCAAATTCATAGATAATTAATTCTAAATTCAAATATGAATTACTTCATAAATTATCCGGCATAAAGATGACCTCATAACGACATGGTGTGTCTGTATGATTTATACGATGATATTTATCACCCCAACCTTTGCCAACACTGATATTCAAAAAACTTAATGTATTAGCCGGATCATGTTTTGCGATATGGCTTTCGGTTCGCGTTTTCAATAACGGATTATTACATCCACGATGAACCCGATAGCAATACCCGCTACTCACCCGTCTGATTGTTTCCGATTTATTCAAACTAAATGATGATGCGATTGAAATGAACAACGGCTTATCACCACTGCAAATAATTAACATAATTAGTTTATTTATTATAATAATCTTTTTTCACTTATTTTCTTCTCTCTCCCTCTCTTTCTTTCTTTCTCTTTCTCTCTCTCCCTCTCTTTTTCTTATCACTTATTATATCCAAAAAATGATAATCCCAAAAAAAACTTTTATAATAATTCCATTTTTTTTATGCTTTATTAAAACAAAATTTTCCTCATTTCAATTTTTTTATTTCTTTTTTTAATTCATTTCCAAAACTTACTAAAAAAAATGCTACACGTATACAGCACGTACGATCACGTGGCATAAATTATTTTATGTGTTATTAAAAAAATACCACACGCGTATCATACGTACAATCACGGAATACAAATTATTTTATGTGTTATTAAAAAAAAAAGTAAACCATACACGTATCATACGTACAAACACGTGATATAAACATTTTTTGATGGAATTATTAACTTAAAAAAAAACTAAAATATTTAATATTGAATTATTAAATTTCTTCATTCAAACAAATTTCTTTTTGATTAAATAAATTTTATCAATAAAATATTTTACCTATTATAGAGCCATACTTCTTGTGATTCATCAACATCTGCTTGTCTTATCAATGCAAATGATACTTCATTATCAATATCCCATTGATTACAAACATTTTGGCCATCATGTACGGAATGAGCTAATAATCCAACAGCAATAAATTGTCCCGAAAGTATCACACCATGTTCATCCATACGTTCTTTCTCTTTCCACCTATACAAATGAGCCCAAGCTGAAAATTAATTTTCATTTATATAAACATTAGCTTACTTTTTTTTTTTTTTTTCTTATAGATAACTTATCACCAACACTTTACTATATATTATCAGATAAAAAAAAAAAATGGCAAAGTAAACTGCCAAAAGATTAAGGTTTATTTCAAAATATTTTAAAATTGAAAAGTATTACTAAGAATAATAATTAACATATTATAAAAGATAATTGAAAAATTTATTTTTTTTTAAAAATTTAAAACTTTTTTAAAATTTAAAATTTTTAATAAAATTTCAAACTTTTTCTTACAACATTAAATTACCTATTCGTTTACTTTTTTGCTAAATAAAAATATTTGCATATTTGTTTTATCACAATATTTATCAAATTTATCATAAAAATTAATGGAAATTCAATGAAAGATTTCCTTTTTTTTTTTCTTTATCACTTTTCAACCGTTTACACTTTTTCATCTATTTGTTCGATGGCACAAAAATTAAAAACATTTAAATTTTGTTAATCAATTAGAATTGATCTAAGATAAAATTAGCTTAAAACTAAAAATTCTACAAATTTCTTCCATTATGCACAAATATTTCATCCATTTTACGATAATTAATTCAATGAAATAGAAAACAAACATTAAAATAAATAAATAAATAAATAAAAAATAAATAAAAAGAAAAAAGAGGAATTGATTGTAATAGTTTGAAATAAAATTTACATTTAACATAAAATAATACTTATCTCATTAGATGATAATTAAATGGATAACATAGATGATATAAATAAATGAATTTAATTATACGACAGTAACGAAAGATTAAAAAAAAAATAAAAGTAAATATCTGAATACGGTAAATGGTGATATACCTGATTAAATGGATAACATAGATGATATAAATAAATGAATTTAATTATACCACAGTAACGAAAGATTAAAAAAAAAAAAAATAAAGTAAATATCTGAATACGGTAAATGGTGATATACCTGAAGAGAAATTTTGATTACTACGTATTGGTGAATCCGGAAGAAGTGGCATTATACGTGACGGTGCTAATATATTATTTGCAACACTTGTGCCCGTAATTTCATCACCAAAACCGGTGTCATTTGTTACAACTAAAATTAACATTGCTAAAAGTAAAATTGGATAAAACCGGATGAAATTTGGAAGGAAAAAAAAAAGAAGGAAGGAAATATCCGATAACAGGAATTATCATTTCCATCTAATGATGATTTCGATTTGGATACCGGATATGATAATTGCATAATTACATACCGGAAACGACTATATCAACAGGCAAAAATGCAAAAAAAATGTATCGGATTATTTAATATCCATTCATTATAATTCAAGTTTATATGTTTTTAATTTTTGATAAAATCTTGAGGAATTATTTTACTATTTCATCATTAACACTATTCAATAGTTATGATTTCAGCAATCATAATAAACTATCAATATTAAAATTTCCGGATAGCTGATATTAATTACCGGAATAGTGCCAAAAATTAGATCAAAACTAAAACTTTGCCAAATATTTTCCCGAATACAACTTACAGGAATGATCAATAATAGAGACAGCGCCATTCAAGCCACCAGATAAGCTGTCCTCATCGGAGGATGAATCCGGATTTGCTGAAAAATAGCAATGCCAGTAAATAAAATTATGAATATTAAATTTAAAAAAAAATATATATATATATATAAAAGATTTAGCCAAGAATTTTCTCACTCTGAAATTTTCACTCGGTAAATTTGATGGATCCTGAAAGGAAAAGTACCATACCTTTATTTTATTTCCTTATTTTCCCCACCTTTTTTTTTAGTATCCTCTCTATTTATATGTCACTTATGTCACACCCAATTACAGTTTCTTCATTAGGAAAACATTTCATCAATTTAATACAATTCTTTGGAGAGTATACATTTCATTGTACTACCAAAATGCTTACTTCTCAGTAATTAATTAATTGATAATCAAAAGTTTAATCAAAATTTTTAAACAAGAAAATTTAAAAGAAAAATACTAAAACCATAAGCGTATTTTGGAAATGTCAGGATAAAAAGAACAAATTTTCATTTAACAATTTTATAATATTTCATGAAATAGATGTAAATGAACGAACTAATTTGAAACAATTAATAATGAATAAGGAGAAGGAATAAACAAATAGATAGCACTAATAGAAAGAAACTTTAAAAGGTGACATTCTTTAAAATGTCATATTACCAATTATTTGCATTATTTATACAAAGCAACTTTCTTTTTAAATTAATTAAATAAAGCTTGAAATCCTTTCAAATATTTTGTCATCAGTCACAGTAAGCAAATTTTCCTTTAAATTAATTAAATTTCATAGATGAAAAATTTGTATACCAGCGATTGCTTTTCGCCTTCGTCTACATAGTGACGCCTTTCTCAAACTTGTTGGTGACATATTGTCTAAAAAATGGCAGTAAAAGAGAGAAAAAAAAAAGTGCTTCAAAATATTTTCAAACTTAAATTAATTTGCGTTATTCATCACTTTCAAAAAATTTTTTCAATAAAAAACAAAAAAAGATTTTCGTTTCAAAACATTCTTACAAAATAGTGTTAAAGAATTAGTATTATTTTTCTTACATCAATTTTATTATAAGAAATATTACTACGTATTATTGCTACTTATCATTATTAGTGTTGTTATGAATTATTATTGTTATTGCTTTTACCAGTCATTATCATTTATGTTATTAGTATTAATTAACTGTTTATTATT